CGGGTTGCCCCCGGCCCTGCTCGGGGGTGGGGCGCCTGGCTGCGATCCCTGCAGCGGGTGGGGGTACAAGGAAGGGGAATCCTGTGTAAAAATGGTGAAATGGGGGTGGGTCACACTGGTCTTCCCCCTTCACTTTCGATCCCTCTGCCCGGGCAGAGTTCGTGGCCCTTCCCCTTCCCATCACTAGGGCGCGTCTCCGCCCGGGCTCTGGGCTGTTCGCCTGGCTGCCCCCAAGGCACCTCTGGGATTGCCTGGGCTTCGGTTTGTGCTGCGGGTGGGCATCAGGAGTGACAGCCCCTGTCTGGGAGGTGCCAGCTCTCCCCCTCCCCCCCCCGTGGCTGCTTCAGGGTGATCCCGCCCGGGGTCTCATCCTGGACCCACCCAGGAGCTGACTTTGGCCCTAGGTGGTTCTGTGGCTCAGCTTTAAAGGGGCTGCCTTTGGGGGGCTGTTCAATGCGGAGAGCAGACCTGAGCTGCATTTGCCCCCTTCTCGGGTGGCTGCCTGCGCCCTATGGCTGATCCCCCTACCCCTGCAATCAAGTGCCCTCTGCCCAGTGGGCCTCCATCCCTACCACCCTTGTCCATCTCCTGTGTCATTGCTGCTTGGGCTGCCCCTGCTTGGAGGCCTTCAGGCCATTGCCTGAGCCTGCCCCCGCAAGTGCTCTGAGCCCAATACTCTGCACAGGGGCTCCCATCCCCATAGCCCAGGGGTGGGATGCGGCCTCCAAGGCTCAGGGCACCACCCAGTTTTGGGCAGCACGTGCTGGTGCTCCAGTCCCCTGCTGCCCCACCACAGAGCTGAAGCACACAAAATCTACTAGGCGTCCAGGCTCTGGTATGCAAGGGGACTATGGGGAGTGGCTCCCCTTCTCAGGCAGGGGCCACGTCAGTGAGGGTTTGTTTGGGTTTTCTTGCTTCTCATTTGTGTGCAGTATCCGACCCTTCTGTAGGTCAGTGGCCCCTGGCCCAAAAAAGGTTCCCCACCCCTGCCATAGCCCATTGGGCACCCTGGTTTAGTTGGGGCTCTGTCCAAGAGGCATGCTTGGCTTGTGCGATCTGAAATGGGGGAGATGCTGTTTTTTCCTGCACTATATTCCTTGGCAGCAGCATCTCGTTGAGGCGCCTTCAGCGGGGAAGGATCTAGCCAGGTAGGGAGAGGGAGGGAAAAAACTCTCCTTCACCAGGGTGGAATTTAATCACGGGACTATGAAGGTACCTCAGGGTCAGTTTGTGCTGGGAGCAGGGCCTGAGCCTTTTGCCCACCAATCTGACGAGGAGCTTGGCGCATTGGATGCGGGAGCTGGCTGAGGGCATCGCCCCAGTAACCGGAGCCACTGGGAGATGGGGATTCAGCCCAGACTCTACAGGCCCTTTGCCCGGCAAAACTATGGGGCTGATAAGGGAGCAATTCTGGGTTATTTTCCTGCACCCCAGTAGTAGGATTGATGCTCCCCTCCCATCTTACAGCTCTCTCTGGGAGGCACAGTCTGTCCCTACTGCCCACACAAGGCTCTAGCAGCAGTTTCTAGCGGACCTTGTTTCTGCTTCCCCATCCCCCCATTCTGTGGCAATGGAGACTTCCTTCCCTTCCTGTCCTAAACTCCTGTATAACATGGCTGTGCTGTTACTGCTGCCATGCCCCACCCCAGAAGCAGCTGCACCTTGGGGTTGGGCAAGGGATCCTGTATATACATGAGTCACGTTGCACCTCAGAGACAGCTGTCACGCAGTGTGGGGCGAACGTTCCTGTGCATAGAAATGGACTGCCGTGTTCTACCCCAGAAGTGGCTGCATTTCTGTTCAGCCTGGCCTCTCTGACTGTTCCGGAAGGTCGTGCGCCAGAGCAAGTTCCTCCATGTCTTCGGGCAGCCTGTCGAGAACGACCAGTGCTATGATGCCATCTGCGTCTCCCGCGTCACCCGGGACAGCAACTTCTGTGCTGTCAACCCCACGTTTGTGGCCGTGATTGTGGAGGCCAGCGGGGGAGGGGCCTTCATGGTGCTGCCCGTGCTTAAGGTGACTGGGGCAGTGGGGGAAAGCAGTGGAAGTTCCTCCATGTCTTCGGGCAGCCTGTCGAGAACGACCAGTGCTATGATGCCATCTGCGTCTCCCGCGTCACCCGGGACAGCAACTTCTGTGCTGTCAACCCCACGTTTGTGGCCGTGATTGTGGAGGCCAGCGGGGGAGGGGCCTTCATGGTGCTGCCCGTGCTTAAGGTGACTGGGGCAGTGGGGGAAAGCAGTGGAGTATTACCAGCTCCTGGCAGTGGTGATGCTAATGAATTGACTGTGTTGTGAGCCCCAGGAGAGATGGGGGTGTGGTGGGGGAGGGAGAATGGGTCTGTGTGGGACCAAGGTTTGTGAGGGGCTACTTTCCCCTTAACGCTGGGGGAAGCAGGGTAGGAGCCAGTGCGGTGAGGGAGGCGCTGTCCTGGAATTTTGTAGCTCGCAAGTGTAATGAGTTTTGCTCTCCCCTGCCCGGAAATCAACAGGGTTGCAGGTGGAGCCCAGGGCTGGATAGCAGAGGGCTGCAGCTGGAAAGAGAAGGGCACCAGCAGTGCTGTGGGGGGAGCCCAGGGCTGGGATCGCAGGGAGGATGCAGATCAGGGTTAAGGGGCTCTCGCTTCAGATTGAAGGGGAATCTCCTGTGACTCTCCCCCTTCTCCCCCAGACAGGGCGAATCGATAAATCGTACCCCACGGTGTGTGGGCACACGGGGCCTGTCCTGGACATCGACTGGTGCCCACACAATGACCATGTCATCGCCAGCGGCTCTGAGGACTGCACTGTGATGGTGAGGGGGCTGGGGGCAGGGGTGGCCCGATGTGGGGAGGGAATTGGGGCGGCCAGCTCCTCCTGGATGGGGTAGGATGGGCATTGTGCTCCCTGGGTAGGTGTGTGTGTCCCATGCCCATGGTGGCAGGTGAAGCAGCTGCCCTGTGTTGGGCAAGAGGGCTCTCTGGTGGCATGAGGGGGCTCAGTGGGTCGGGCTCTCCAGCGTGGGGAGTTGGGGGAGGCTTTCTACAGGCCTTTCCAACCTCTCTGCCCTGACAGGTCTGGCAGATTCCGGAGAATGGGCTGACACAGCCCCTGACGGAGCCCGTGGTAATCCTGGAGGGGCACTCGAAGCGTGTGGGCATCGTCACTTGGCATCCGACCGCCCGCAACGTTCTCCTCAGCGCAGGTGCGGCAGTCTCTCCTTCCCCTGTGATTCAGTGGGGTGGGACGGGGTAGCGTGGGGCAGGTCTCTGCAGGGGACAAGGGTAGCGGGAGGGGCTATGTGTGGTGGTCTCTGTACCAGAAGACCGATGGATAGTTAACGTAAAGCCTTTTTTCTGAGGTTTATTGCCTCAGAGTTGTTTAAAACCAGAGTTCAGTCCTAAGCAAATTAGTACCAAGCGGGATTATCCGACACGTAGGTGAACACTGCGTTTGGGAGAATCAACATGGATTTTGCAAATGGAATTCACACGTCACTAATCGATTAGAATTCTTTGGGTGGGTCAGGAAAATGTGGATAAGCATGGTCCAGTGCATATCGTATACTTGGACTTTCCAAAAGCCTTCAGCAAAGGCTCTTAAGCAGCTATAGGATAAGAGGGACGTTCCTCTCATGAGGTTCAAAAGGACAGAAATAAATGTTTAGTTTTCACAGTGAAGAACAGTAAATAGCAAGGTCCCCATGGATCTCTACTGGATTTGGTGGTGGTCAGCATGTTCATAAGTGATCTTGAAATGGGTAAATCGTGAGGCGGCAAAGTTTGCAGATGATACAAACGGACTCAAGATAATTTAGTCCAAAGCAGAGTTCAAAGGGACCTCCCAGAACAGGGTGACTTGGCCACAAAATGGCTGATGGCATTAGATGTTGGTAAATGCAAAGCGATGCACAATGGAAAACATAATCCCAACCATACATGCAAAATTATGGGGCTAAATTAGCAGTCACCACTCAAGATAGCGATTTTTGGTGTCATGGTGGATAGTTCTCCGAAAACATTTATTCAATGTACAGTGTCGGGTGGGGGGAAAAAAGCTAGGAATCATTAGGAAAGGAATAGATAAGAAGACAGGAAATATCACACTGCCACGCTGTAAATCCATGTTCTATAATGCCGAGAATAGTGTGTGCAGTTCTGGTCACCTCTAAAGTATTAGAAATGGGAAAGATTCAGCGCAGGTTGAGAAAATGAGGGGTCTGGATGAGCTTCTGTATAAATAGAGTTAAAAAAGGCTGGGACTTCTCAGCTTAGAAACAAGACAACTGTGGGGATGATAGTGGTCTGTGGTGTGGCAAATAAGGAAGTGTTGCTAACTCCTTTACCTTACACAAGAACCAGGGGTCACCCGGTTAAGTTACTAGCAGCAAATGTAAAACAGACATAAGAAAGTGCTCACCGTTGGCCTGTGGAACTCCTTGCTGGGGGATGTGGGGAAGGCCAAGCGGAGAAGTTCATCAGTGTCTTTTAGCTAAGAGAGTCGGGGACACAACCCCGTGCTCTGGGTGTCTATAAACCTCTGCTTGAATGTGGGACTGAATGACAGGATCACTTGATAATTGCTGTCCTGTTCTGCTCCTTCCCTCTGAAGCAGCGGGCACTGGGGCTAGGTAGAGCATTGGTGGAACCTAGTGTGCTTTCTGGAGTGGGGACAGCATGGGGAGGAGATGCGTTCCTTCCCCCAAGCTAGGACAGCATGGTGATTGGTGGAACGTGGGCATAGCCGAGGAGCTGGGGGAGAGGGGAGTCGAGGGAGCTGGGGTTGGATGTGTCTGCTCCTTCCCTCTGAAGCAGCGGGCACTGGGGCTAGGTAGAGCATTGGTGGAACCTAGTGTGCTTTCTGGAGTGGGGACAGCATGGGGAGGAGATGCGTTCCTTCCCCCAAGCTAGGACAGCATGGTGATTGGTGGAACGTGGGCATAGCCGAGGAGCTGGGGGAGAGGGGAGTCGAGGGAGCTGGGGTTGGATGTGTGATCGCACTGTTCCTTCTCCCCTCCCCCCCCCCCCCCGC